TTTTTTTTTTTTTTTTTTTTTTTTTAATCCTGATTGAATAGTCAGAGACTGCTTTCCCTTTTATATTGCACTATATGATTGAAATAAGTGCTCCTGTTCCACGTGCAGACACATTGAATTATTTGTAAAAGGTGTATATAACTAGCGGCTTCCTGAATTGCCCTCTGCTTTTTAAAGGAGGTTAGCCCCTGTTCTCACTGTTTCTTAGAGAACATAAGTTCCTAATTTAGATAGTCTGAACCATCCCTGGTGTCAGGAGCCTAACTTTTTGGGTTTTAGAGGAAAAAATATTAATCCAGTCCTAAATATACCCCAAATCATTGATTAGTGCATATTTATAACTCACTCTGAAATATGAAAACATTACTATCAATTTCTTTTAACTTTCTTTTAGAAATAAAGACCCAGCCCTTTTTCTGTTTGAAAGCCATCAAGAGCTTTTCTGCGTATACAAAAGATCAGCCATACCATTAAGGAGCATTAATCCAAGGCTGTTCATTAAGGCTTAGCTACCATGACAAGGAAAAGTGCAACACAAAAGACATTGTTTGCTTTAAATACAAAAAAATCTGGGCCATGAATTCACATAAATTCTCTTTAGTTGTTAACTCCTAGGCTATTTGAAAGAAGGAACAGTTTAGTATGTTTACTTCTATCAGAATAATTTGATTTTGTGATATTATCACTTACTGAACTATTTGGAATATAACTTCAACAATTATGTCTCAGTGAGGAAGGGAAAGTATGGATAATTATTGTAATATTATTATTAAATGTACAGATATTACTAACTTGGCATATACTTGAATCAGAATATTCTAAAAAAAGACAAGATTATTCCATAATTTGACTTTTCTCTTTAGGCTTTTAAATGTTTATATTCAAATTAAATTCCTTGTGATATTGAAGGCATTTCAAGTTTTCCGAGAACATTTTGGAGGAAATTGTATTTGAAGTAACCAAGAGAGATATTCAGACTATAAATATTAGGCTTGAAGGATGATACTGAACTGTGCAGGCTTGCTGATTAAAGTGGTGGTGATGACATTGATAACATAGGAAATAATTAAGAATATTTTTAGCACTGTTATAAATTGCTGATGCCATTTTTTCTTATTTTTTATTACTTTATTATGGTTTCCTTACTTGAATTTTTTCAGACATTCATGATCAGAACAGCAGGAAACCCGTTATGGTCTACATCCATGGTGGATCTTACATGGAGGGTACTGGCAATATGATTGATGGCAGCATTCTTGCAAGTTATGGAAATGTCATTGTTGTCACTCTCAATTACAGGCTGGGAGTTTTAGGTAAGTGACTCTTTTCTTCATGATCGACTGAATAAAAGTATTTTATTGCTTAATTTATCTACTGGTCAATCATAGATCCTTGAGCAAATTTTGTTTTTAAAACAGAACATTCTTGCTGGAGGATAGTTTGACTGTATTATGCTAATATTTAATTCTGTTCAGTATTTTATGGAAACTGGGCTAGGCTACATGTTTTCTTCTTTTTGACAGCTGCCTTCACCTTAGACAAAAATTACTGCATATTTATAATTATGTTAGTGATGGTTTATGTTAAATTTGTCATAATATCATATTCGCTCTTGGCTCAGAGATTTAACAGTTTTTGAGAACTTGTATCTTTTTCTCATTAAAATATTCTCAATTCCATGTTAAAAAAAAAAAAAAAAAAAAAAAAAAAGTTAATCAAGAATGAGTGCTCTCCAGTTTCAAAACAGTTGGTAATGAACAGGCTGCCCAGGGGGGTTGTGGAGTCTCCTTCTCTGGAGATATTCAAAGCCCGCCTGGATGAAGTCCTGTGTAACATGCTCTAGGAGAACCTGCTTTAGCAGGGGGGTTGGACTAGATGATCTCCCGAGGTCCCTTCCAACCCTTGCCATTCTGTGATTCTGTGATAGGAAAAGCAAAAATGTTAGTATTTATCTGTATTTATTATTTTTGTGTACAAATTTTTTTTTTAGGGCAGAAGATATTGAGGTATTACAAACAAAACAGACTATATATACTGATGGAATTTCTGTTGCAGGTAATATGGAGTCAGGAGTTTCAAGGAGTGATGTAAAATTATTTTCCTAAATATAAAGAACTCTATAATAATGAATTATACTATTGACAGAAATTAATAATTCTGTCTTGAAAACAGAACAAGAGCTGCATCTTCTTGACATTATAAATATTCTTCTGTCAGCAATTAGATTGAATAACAAAAGAACCTTTGATCCATGACAACAGACCAAAAATCTTTTCTGCCTTCTCTGTGACTCCGACTCCTGGTTGTTTGCATCAGGCTTTTCTCCAAATTAAGGTTTATTTTCAGAAGTTCTACTTTTCCATAGAAAATTAAGCTAAAAATTTGCTTATAATACCAGACATTAGAAGTATCTTTAATCTTAATGAAAAAGCATGTAGTCGATATAGAATAGCCTATAAACTGCTAGAATGTTCATATTTCCAGCACTTTATATACACAAAGTAATGTATAGTATTTTGTGTCTGTTTTTTTTAATTTAGAATGGCATTTACAAAGATTTTTAATCTTGTTTTTCTTGGTAGAAAATGTGATCTATATTCATGGCATGTACTATTTTGGAACACAGGAAATGTCTTTTGCTGAGTTTTGCTGTGGTTAATGTGTTTTAACAATGTTCTAGGTCATCAGAGTACTGAGAATTTTTCTCTTGTCCCCGATTTTGAATCTTGTTTAAAAACAAAAGAGATTGTTTTCTATGTTAGAGGCAGATTTAAACATAACACCAGGAATATAAAAAGATATTTTGGTATATTTATGCATGTAATCTTGGTACTCAGAAACACATCCAAGAAAGAAAAACAAAAAAAGAAGAAAAGGGAAGTAAAAATATAAGTGAAGAACTCAGACCCTTAAAAAAGGGGGATTGTTGTTGTTGTCAAATAAACCCTATACCCAAGAACTTGGTAAGAGTTATTTATCTGTAAAAAAGGTTATTTAATGGATCTCTTAAAAGGTTTTTTCTTGGTTTCTTAAAAATAAAATTGTTGAAGGATACAAATGATTATATGTATTATAGAATGTTTCATTGTCTAGCTGCCTCATATCAATCTAAAGGAAAAAATGCAATATTTACATTGATGAACTTCAATTTTATGTATCTATATTGAAAACAAACAAAAAAAAGACAGAATGGCATATTTTTATATTGTGGCATTTAAGAAAAAAGGCACAATACAGAGGCATTCATATAAGAAACTGAAAGCAATAACTGTGAGGATTTTAAATGGATTAGGAAAAATATATTTAGCATTAAATACTACTTCTCAATATTGGCAAATGTAACTTCTGAGTCACTATGGAATTTATTCTTTGTTATAGAGGGGCTGTGTTTGAATTAGAAAAAAAAAAGATATTTAGAATATGCATTTAGCACCTAAAAAAATCAGAGTAATTGGGTTTTTATGAGGATAGTTTTTTTTCCTTTCTGGGTGAAATGTAAATATTAGGTTCTGCCTAGATATTGGAAGATGTTAGGTGAATTTCATGTATCTTTGACTTGCTTCATAGGTAAAAAAATTAAAGAGACCACAAATTTCTTCAGGTAAACAACCATATGGAAAAGAAATATAATTATTCATAAAAGTTAAAAAAGTAGCATAATTATTATGACACAAAATTTGAAGATTGACCATATTTGTATCCATTTCTTCTGGATTATCTTCTATTTGAAAGATTCTTATTTCTCTAAATCTGGTGTGTTTCAGTTGCATTTGATTTGTAAGTTTGTACATGAGTGGACACATACAAACCTGACTTTAATGACAGAGGTGGGTAATTCTATCACTATTATCATGTCCTGTGTTGGATGACTGCATTGAATTGATCACAATGATGAGTTACTGAAGATCCTTTATATTTTTTTTTTTTTCCTTCCTCTGGAAAATTAACACTTGAATAGACCTGAATACTGGATGTTATTATATTTACCATAAATGTTAGTTTTGTTCTGGAGGCATATGAAATTATTTTCCTTTCATTCTATGTTGTGTCATTAACAGCAGTAGATAGGAAATCTGTTAGGATGGCATAGATAATCACTGGGTTATATTAGCCAGACAAATCATAAAAGCATAGAATGGTTTGGGTTGGAAGGGACCTTTCAAGATCATCCAGTCCAACCTCCCTGCCATGGGCAGGGTCATCTTTCACTACATCAGGTTGCTCAAAGCTTCATCCAACATGACCTTGAACACTTCCAGTGATGGGGTATCCACAACTTCTCTGGGCAACCTGTTCGAGTGTCTCACCATCCTCATCATAAGTAATTTTTTCCTTCTATCCAACCTTAATCTATCTTCTTTCAGTTTAAAACCACTGCCCCTTGTCCTGTCACTACAGGACCTGGTAGAAAGTCTCTCTCCATCTTTCGTATAAGCCCCCTTTAATTATTGAAAGGACCAAATAAACATTCTCTTCTTCAGGCTAAACAACCCCAACTTAGCCTTTTTTCATAATACAGGTGTTCCAGCCTTCTGACCATTTTCATGGTTCTCCTCTGGACCTGTCCAAACAGGTCAGTATCTTTCTTGTACTGGGGACCCCAGAGCTGGATGCAGTACTCCAAGGGGGGTCTCACAAGTGTGGAGGGAGAGAATCAACTGCCTCAACCTGCTGGTCATGCTTCCTTTTATTCAGTCCAGGGTACAATTGCTGTTCTGGGCTGCAACTGCACATTACTGATTCATGTCCAAGTTTTTGTCCACCAGTATCCCCAAGTCCTTGTCCGCAGGGCTGCTTTCAATCCATTCGTCCCTCAGTCTATATTGATACTGGGGATTGCCCAGACCCAGGTGCAAGATCTTGAATTTGGCCTTGTTGAACTCCTCAAAGCTGTCAAGGTCCCTCTGGATGGCATCCTGTCCCTCTAGCACATCAGCTGCACTACTCATCTTTGTGTTGTCTGCAGACTTCTTGAGGGTGGACTCAATCCCACTACCTATGTAATAAATGAAGATATTAAACAGAATTTATCCCAGTATGGACCCTTGAAGGACACCACTCCTCACTCATTTCCATTTGGACATTGAACTGATGACTGTAACTCTTGAGCTTCCTCTTGGACACTGAGATGGTGACTGTAACTCTTGAGGATGTGGCCATCCAGCCAGTTTCTTATCCATCTAACAGTCCATTCATCAAACCCATATCTCTACAATTTAGCAGTAAGCAGTAAGACCTTACAGAAGTCCAGGTAGATGACATCAGCATTCTTCCCTTGTCCATTGATACAGCCATTTCATTATAGAAGGCTACTAGATTAATCAGGAACGATTTGCCCTTGATGAAGACATGTTGGCTATCTCTAATCACCTCCCTGCCTAACATACATTTTGACATGCCTTCCAGGAGGATCTGTTCTGTGATCTTACCCCAGTAACGATACTGGAGGTGAGGCTGACTGGTTCCCAGGGTCCTCCTTATTACCCTTTTTAAGGTCTCTGGGGGCTTTGACTGCCATGACTTTTTTCAATATGGTGGAAAGTGGCTTAGTCACTACATCTGTCAATTCCCTCAGGACCCTGGATGCATCTTGTTTAGTCCCATGGACTTCTGTACGTTCAGGTTCCCCATGTGATCTCAAATGTAATCTTCTACAATAGGAGGGACTTCATTCCCCCAGTGTCTGCCTTGAGGTTCAGGGAATTGACAGATGTGGGAAGAGTGATTGCCAGTGAAAACTGAAGCAAAAGTTGTTAAGTACCTCAGCCTTCTCCATGTTAGTTTTTACTAGTTCACTGGTCTTATTTACTGGAAGGGGTACTTACTACTTTTCTGAGCAACATACCTGTAGAAACCCATCTTACCATTCTTCACATTCCTTGACAAATGTAGCTCCAACTGCACCTTAGCTTTCCTAATCCCATCCCTACACATCCAGGCAGTGTCCCAGTATTCTTCCTAGGATACATATCTTTGGTTCCACTGCCTGTGCATTTCTTTCTTACACTGTATTTTGACCAGGAGACTCTTACTGAGACAAGCTAGTCTCCTGCCTTCCTTGCCTGGGAATTGAGAGCTCTTGTGCTCTATGATAAATGAACCTTAAAGAGCTGCCAGCTCTGTTCTGCTCCTTTATCCCTGAGGACAGTTTCCTAGCGGGTCCCATCTGCTAATGGCTTACAGCTCCTTCTGTTTGTTACCCATTCTGCATACATTGGTATAGATACACTTCAGTTGGGCTATCAACCTTATCACCTTTTTAGAGGAAAATGCCCCAACTCCTTTGGGGCATTTCATAGATGTTCCTCTGTTG